AATATCTACTTCAGTGAGGGTCTGAGGTGGAGGAGAGCTTGGCGATCGTAGACGAGCAGAGCAGAGACATTCTGACATACATACAACAACAAAAAGGATAGTTAAAGGTAGAGAGCTGAGGGAGCAGCGAGCCGACACAGGCGCCATCTTCCCACACACTGGTCACAGCTGTACGGTCTCTCTCTCTCTCTTGACCAGGTGGGTCAAAGAAGCCACTACTGAGGATGAAGAACAAGAAGAAGATAATTGTTTGGGCCAAGAAACACAAGGATTGGACATTAGAAAGTGGAAATCTGTACTTTGGTCTGGTGAGTCCAAATTTGAGATTTTTGGTTTCAACCTTCGTGTCTTTGTGAGACGCAGAGAGGGTGAGCGTATGGTTTCTGCATGAGTGGTTCCCATCTGAAGCATGGAGGAGGAAGTGTTATGGTGTGGGGGGGCTTTGCTGGTGACACTGTTGGTGATTTATTCAGAATTCAAGGCACCATTAACCAGCATGGCTACCACAGCATTCTGCAGTAGCCAGCAAAATATAAAGTATATTCTGGATTTGTAAACACTTTTTTGTTTACTAGATAATTCCATATGTGTTCTTTTATAGTTTTGATGTCTTCAGTATAAATCTACAATGTAGAAAACATTTAAATAAATAAAAAACTTCGAATTTGAAGGTGTGTCCAAACTTTTGACTGGTACTGTATATATTTTTATTTGGTATTGTATCATTGTAATCCAGCTATAAACCCCCATTTATTTATTTTTTACTAGTAACCTGATAACGCATTTTTTTCATTTAACTGTCAGGGAGTAGTTACTTTTATTTTGGTTGGATGTAATCCGTAATTGTCAACAGAGTGGTGCAGGAAGGAGTCCTAAACCCGGAAGACAACTTAGTATTTTGCCTCTTTTGGTTCCCTCATCTCAAAGTCAAAGTTTTTTGAATGAGTCTGTGGTTTGAAGTCTGATATCTGATCTGTGGTTAATAGAAGCTGAAGTGGTTCACAGGTTTTGTTCTACAACATAAAATACCTCAGTGCTTGTGAATGTTTGAAGATTCTATGTGTGATTAAATAGAGGACTAAACATCATCACACCGAACTCTAGCCGCCATTCGCTTAGCGGTGGTGTTGCGCAGCCATGTGATGTGATTTTGTACTTATAGTCTTTGCTTAACACTTCAAAAAATGGTGTTAATATGTGGAGATTATCCTGCTGAACCAAACGGGTTAAATATCATAACTGTGTGTTTGCCACAACATTTATTTTCTGCATTATACCATGTGCAATGGAAAAATCCCTCTGCTTTTTGTAGAGAGAGCCTTTGTGATGCTAACTTCCAGGTCAACCTCCACAACACGTCTTGACTGCTCCACTCTATTCCCTGATCATGTCATGTATTTTATTTTCTGTCTGTGTCTCCCACATACCATCACACCTTATTATAGAGTCATATGTACACAAAGACTGCAGACTGACACCTTTCCCTCTGAGCAGGTGTTGGTGGTTTTCTCTTAAAGAGGCTACAGATTGTTTTATGATATATTTCTGATGCACTACCTGGCCCAGTTATTAAAAAAGCAGAACATAACTTGGTACAAGACACATGATGACAACAGGCAGGCAGGTTTCATACCTTGAAGACTTTAACCTGGCAGCTGGAAGAACTGACATGCTCCATGTACTCCCCGTGCTCATTGGTGCTGAAAGTGTCCACCTGGATACGAAACGGCACTCCCTTCTCCCCACCGTGCTTCCTGGGGGTGAACTCAGTACTGATGCAGTTGACCTGAGAAGACGCAAGACGAAAACAGACGGAGTGTCAGTTCGTGAGCAGGCTTTGGAATGAAATGTAACAGGATTAATCAGGAAACTAAAAAAGCAACTGTTTTTGTAAACTCTACTATTCTGTATGTCTAGCCTAAATTTAAGAGAACACATTTTTTTTTCTTCTTTTCTAAGCTCACATTTTTCTGTTGTCTTACATAATACACTAAAGTAAAAAAACATCTTAACGGAAAATAATCAGGTTAAACTAGTCATTTGTAACTAGATTACCCCTGTGTGTGAGAAAGGTATCTCTCCTCCAGACGCTGAATCTGTACCTGGATGAAAGCAGAAGCCTTCTTCACAGGGTCCCAGAGGAACTCGATGGTGTTCAGATGCATGGGGTGTGAACGGGGCTCCAGGATCCCCTCTGACAACGGGATATCTGCAAATCATCAGTCAGTCCATTTGCAATTGTTATAAAGCCCAAAAACACATTGTGAAAATGAGCTTGCAGTTATGAGCGAAGGAGTCCTGACTGAGTTTTCTGTTGGGACATCTTCAGTTATTTCTCTTTACATATTCATATCTAAGTTGGCATGTCTTTGTTGGAAAAAGGTGATGTCACACTCTTACATGAACCAACTATAGGTAACAATATATGAATGAAAAATGTCAGTTTGAACCGTATCAACAGGTGAGAAAAGGTGTGCAAATGAGCGTGTATGATCACTGATTTACAGTAGGTGAAGCTGATAAATGCAGGGGTAACTGCTGAGTCATATGTTCCGGAATAAATGCTGATAGCAACCTTCCCACAAAAATGTAAATCCTGTTTTTAGTGGGTGTTTGGTCCAGTGGAAGAAGTGTCATTATTTCGCTCTGGTTCAAACAGCACTGTGATCAGTGAGCTTTGATCTACTCACAGTCACAGTCCACTTACCTATATCCAGGATCCGGTCTCCAGGTCGGTTCCACCTCCACCCCTCCAGCTGCTGGTGCTCCATATACTGCAGCCGGCGGTCGTGGAACACCACCCGCACGATGCTCTGTGGAGAGACCCGGAGATCAGAGCAGAGAACAGAAACATCTGGAGGGGGCAGCTCGCACATGGCCAAACAGCTGGACTGTTGGGCAACGTGCCAAAGGCTCCCCTCCTCATTGAAATATACTGAGGCAGGTTAAGGAGGAGCAAATGTCTCAAATGTCTGCATGTGATGCAGCACCAACAAAGACTCTTAAATCAGGGCTCCCACACACGCAACTTAGGATCATCACAAATCTTCTGCTGATGTTCAAATGTACAAATGTTTGAGGTGTGAAATAGTCAGAATCTTATCTCATGATCTTAAAAATGATTGTCGAATTAAAAAGAGTGTTTGGTTCTATAGGTCAATTTCCAATTCACAATCTTCAAGTGGTGTGGGAACCCTGACCAAAGAACATCTCTCAGTGGACGGCATGTGCTGCAGAGCCCACAGCTTCTGTTACTAACTTTTAGCTGGCTATCTAGCATATCGTTCTACATATCAGACAAAACTCAAATATTCCTCTCCCTGCTCCGAAGAGAAGGGTCTCTTTAAAGGGGCACTCTACCAGTTCTGGTTTAGTTGGCTCGTCTCCAGGAGTAGTGGTGGTGTAACTTTTCAACAGGAAGCGTTTGTTACAAACTTTGCATGTTGGCAAGTAAGTCTAACAAAGGGCACTATCCAGTTGCATTAGGGGAAATGTAGGATTTGTGACAATTTCATTCATTTTGAATGATATCAGTGCATTAAAAAAGGTTTTTTGGTAACTTATGTTAAAGTATGTTTAGTAAATAAGGGGAAATGTTGGTTGTATTATACATATACATGAAGAGTGGTCTCCTGTGTAAATGTCCTGTGTGTGTTCGACCCATCCACCCTGAGATCTGTACTCTCCCTCTTTTTAGTCGCCCATCTTCTTCCTTAACTCCTGTTATTGTTTTTTCTGCCATTAGAGGTCACTAGCTAACAAAGTTGAACCCCCTGTGGTGATCCAGCTTACCAATAATTGACAACAGCCTACTGAGCCAATAAGGAGTTAGTTACCAACTTAAATCTCTGGTCTGATGACAACCGATAAAGTCAATTTAACGGGCTGATAACATTCCAAGCATGTGACCAATTCTGTGGACTGAACATGGGCCTCTGCTGCTTTTCTCACCATTCAACAGAGCTGCTTTATGAAAGCACTGTGGAGTGCCTCTTTAAAGCAACCTTGTGAAGCCTGCCAGCACATCAAATAAATCAACAAATTAAATGAACCACCTGCAACAACATGGGGATATTTCAGGCCTGACTGAGCAGCGCGTCATGTGTTTGCAGAGATGCCACCTGTCCCATTCCTGTGTTTCTAGGATGCTACCGCTAACGCAGCCGGACCACAGAGACATGTCAAGTGGATGCACTCACACAGAAAGGAAATCAAATGAGCTCTCCTTACTCTGAAGTGAGTGTGTGGACAAATGCCCTAACACATCTGAAATCTAGTCACAACCTGTGTACAAAACAACGTTGCATGGCAGAAATAATGCTGCTAATGGGTTTGATTCAGAAGACATGGCATCAGGAATACAACATTATATTTTTTTATTTCCATTAAAAAAACATCCAGAAGTAAAATTGGTCTAAAGATGCCGAAGTCTTTCTGAAAACAATCCCAGTGAAGCAGACAAAAGCAGATTGGCATGTTCATAAGAAGAGTGTACGGTAAAGGAGTGAAGGTCAGAGGAGTTGTGTGTTCGTGAGGGTTTGTTAAATCTAAGAAGGAGGAAAGGTACGTTTGGGTGATGGTACCAAGCTCATCGAGGTGGACAGTCCACCCCTGAAGTGGAAGGGGGGTTCAGGGACCTGTGACAAACCAGGAAATGGCTACATAGAAAGAGACAGGAGCAGAAAGAGGTCATGTGTAGGTCAAAAAAAGACAAACACAATACCTTACACCTACCTTTACATATTTGCAGCTTATATCTGTATACTCCACTAGTTTTCTGTTAAGCATACGGATTTCGTAGGACTGACCTACATTTTAAAACATTAAAAAAAAACCTGATTAAAATTGAAAAATGAGAAATCAGTCAATCAGAAAAGAAGGACAGTGGAGATAGAAATTAAATCAAATTAGAATATGTTAAGGCAGATATCAAGGCCAGCCACTGGACAACTTTTAACCATCTGATCAAATATGAAACTAAGTATTATAATAAAAAGATCATTTAAATAACCACAGGGGGACACTAAGACTATGAATGCTTTTTAAGGCATAGTATAAATACTGATTATTAGTAGCAGCAGTTACTGTTAATGTGTTTCAAACCAAATGACTGTACAGCAGATATGCAGGGCACACTTGTAGATGGATAAAGCACAAATCAAATGTCTCAGAAACAATCAGCAGGTTGAGAGCGCAGTGAGGTCGGAGCACATTTTGGCAAGAAAAGACAAAAGAAAGAGCAAAAGAAAAAAGGGTGAATTAGTTTAGAGAGCAGACACATGTAGGAGCTCATGTTACATCAGATCAATCATTCATAGGGTATGATTTGATATCTTTCAAATCTTTCTACCATGATAACAGCAGGTTGGTTAATCATTGTCATTTATGTTATTATGTTTATTACACTATATTCCATTGTTATATTCTAGGACAGCAGTCTATGTGAGTTTAACAACTGTCTTCTTAAAAACAGAAAACTATGGAGGAAATACAATACAGTTTGATAAAACTGAATCTATGACATTGAGAGGTTTACTTTCAAATATGTCCTTTGTGAGTTACATTTCCCGCTCAGAAATTTCCCCCCCAAAAAAAGAATCTAATTTCAAAAACTTTGACAAATGTTGACGTTTTTAACGGAACACAAATTCAAATCATCCTCGATAAGCATCTGGCCCTGGGAACATAGCCCCCCACCCATTTAGCCAACTAGCATCATAACATTGGATTGATTTATCAATAGAATATGTGTTCCAGACCTAAATGTAACCACAGATTGTAATTTGTAATTCATCATAAATCATCTGTGAGTAAAAATAACATATATCCTCTAGCTTCTCAAACATGACATTACATTTGTGTGGTTTGACATTAAATACAATATCTGAAAGTTTAAATGTTGGTCAGACAAAACAGGCTTTTACTTCATAAAAATAAAATAAATATAATGGCGTTAAAGCATTGTTGAGTCTCTGCACACTCTACGGGGGCCGCAGGGTGCCAAACTTGGGGTATAAATATACATTTGTGATAAATCGATAAAGATTTAGCCCAACCCCAAGGCACAATGGATTTGGAATCCTGCGTCAGCGTTAATGTAAGCCTGGTGCTGCTGCAGGGAACATGTGACAAAATGAGCTCCATTCAGTCAGCGTGGACCTTCACCCGCGGCACAGATAGCTACCTTGGTTGAGATAAGTGAGGGTCTCCTCCTGCTGCTTCACAGCCGGAGAGGTGGCCGCACACAAGACCACCTGCAGCGAGCTCCTCTTACACACACTCTCAGCCGTGAGCCTCGCTTCTTCATCTTTCAAGAACGGTGCCAGGGCCTCTCTGAAAGAGCAGAGACAAGAAGAGGGGCTGAGGACGGGAGGTCACCATCCGTTCTCGCTTTATCTAATCGTTTAAGCATAGAAACAAAGGTTAAAACACAATATTACTCATCTGGTTCAAGTGAAGAGGTGTGGGGAAAAAGTCAATTTCATCGATGTTTGTTGTCTTAATATTGATTTTGAATGCAATGTTCCATTAAAGGAGATAATTGTATAAAAACATTTAGATTACATTGTTTTTCGAATTTCACATGGCAGTTTAATTGAAAAAATATTTAAATACTTTAAGGAAAAAATCCTGCCGATGTCCAAATGTATTGTAAGCACTCTGAGCACTTCTACTTCGGTATCTTCTTGTTCATGTAAAGTAAACACCGCTGCTTTGCATTGACACATTGATTAACGTAAATCAAATGTTTCCCAGTGGAATCCAGATGTTTCTAAAGTTTCATGTGCTTTACCTAATGTAACTAGCAGAGTGCTGGTGGTAGGACTCGGGCTGCGGGTGGCAGAACAGCATATCTTCCAGGACGGTGTCTTCTGGTGTCCCGGGTCACAGCGGGGAGGGGGGAGGCAGACGGCTTCCTCAGGGCTCCGCTCAGAGAGGTTTGCAGCCAGACCTCAGCGCCTCCTCTTATATGGTCCCTGTGATGTCATCAGTACTCCCACTCTCTCTGCACCTTGGATGACCTTAGAGGCGGAGTGTGCAGCAGCCCGCCCTCCCTCCCTCCCAATGTTTAGCGGGTTGATGCATTAAGAGCAGCGTCACCTGACCAGCTGTTGACATGGCCAGCAGTTCCCTGTCTACTCACACTAATGATGTCTGGAGGAGAAGTTTGGAAAACAAACATGGAAGCGGCTGAAGGATTCTGGGGAACAGAGAAGGGCAAGTACCCTCCAAATAATAGTACACTAACAAATAATAGTTAGTATACTGTATATAAAATAATAGCAATAGTGTGGATACTAAATGAAACCGTTCAATCCCTCTGTGCGGGGGGAACTATTCAGATATTGTAGAACAGTAAAATAATAATACCACACTGTGGAAATGTTACACGTGTATGTGAATTTCATCAGGAAAATTGGTTTGTGAATTCACTCATAACAAAACTACTTTTTAATAAACTAATCATATTTTGTGTGTAAAAATAATCCAGTGTCACACATATAGAGTGCAGAAATAAGTGCAATATTTACCTTTAAGATGCAGTGAAGTCAAAGGATAAAGGAGCATTTAAAAACACCATCCTTCAGTTTATCACAAACACTACAAATCATCTGGAGATACATGCCATGGTGCATCAGCGCACAGGAAGGGGAGGAACAACTGTACTGCGTAGCGTAATTAAAGCTGACTGATAAATGTCTCGGAGCCTTGGAGGATTACAGGATGTGTGAAAGTATAGTTTCATAACATGGAAATACTCAAGTTAAGTACCTTGATCACATACTTTAGTTGAGTACTTTTGTTTAGTTACATTCCCCCACTGATATGCATGCTTCACTGGAACATGTGCTCCCAGCTGCAGCCTGCTCTCAGAGCTGATCTCAGGTCAGCTGACTCTACTGGTTAATGTTCAGCCCCTGCACACCCAGACAGCGCCCCCTGTGGACGCTGAGGTTCAAGCTGCAGGCAGGAGAAACAAGAATACTTACGACATGCTCTGAAGATTAAACTCTGTGGTGATAATTCTGGGAGGAAGAAGCAGAAACACATCCAGATCACTTCTTCGTTGGTTTATTTCTAGAGCAAACCATTTCTTTACATTGTTGCAAACCTATCACAGGTGGAAGTAAACAAAAACAACCTTCTGTACAGTTTATCATGAGAGAACAAAATCAAATATAAATACAGGTCTGAATATTACATGAGCGACTGAGACAAAAGAAAGACAGTGTACTGGAGAACATGCATAGTGAACAGCTGTTTCTATAGCAGTAATGTGATTACATATGCTCCCCTGAAGATCGGTCAACTCTCCCCTCATGCCATGTGTGCATCTGCTTCAATTGGCTTCAAGATCAGACCGATCGAGAGGAGTCAGGAGGAAAGAATAAGGTAGAGTAGAGAGGCATGTTACAGTGTACAGGGCCAACACCATCTTCAGCACCACCACTTCCAATGCTGCTTATTATAACACATACGTCTGTACATTCATTTACTTAAATAACCACGGTTGGCCCACTCGCAGTGGATTCCCTGAATGAAACACCACTCAAATAAAACAGTGAGTCACAAACCGTCCAAGGACTCTGTCATTTGCTCGAACAAGAGAACAGAATTTAAAAGGCATAATGAGTCGGATCCCTTCAGTATCATGGTGAACCAATAATCAAACATCTGATCAGATGGAGGAAACCTTTCCTGATCAGGGATCCATGGCTAGACTCGGAGCAACATCCAACATTTGAAAGCTTCCTCAATCTTAACACTGAAACAAAAAGAGGTGTGACTTCCACCAGCTTAAATACACGGAACACATGGTTTATGTTTGTACCTTTGACATACATGTGGCTGATGTCTGGGACCACCTCCTCTGCTCATTCAATCATCAGAGAGGAGTCACCTGATGATGTCACAATTGCACTTTAACAGCCAATAACCCGGGCCCTTTAAAACAGCATGTTGGCATGAGCTGCAGGCTACATGCAGGGTGTTTTCGCCAGCGTGCAAAAAGGTGATAGTCAACCTGTTTTTTCTTTGACATTATGTAAAACTTTGCGAAGCAGTGGTCCAAAAGTGTATGTACAAAATACTGTTATTAGTGGATTCAGAGTTATTGCAGAAGCTGTGTGGGGAAACTACTGTATTTGCACGGTCACAGGTCAAACCGGGTCCCGCAGATTCACATCTTTTAGAGAGCCAAGGGTTACAGTGCTGTAAGTCCACTTACATTAGTGTGGAGTGAATAAGGCCTGGAAAAGTCTTATTGGTGTCTCCGATCACTCGTCTGCCCGCTGGAAACATCTGCAGTGTTTACAACAGGACCTCCTCCTCACCAGAGTCTCTGCTGAGCAGCACCCTCACAGATTGACAGGTAAGAAGCCACACACTGGAGTGGTGAAAGCGTGTTTAACAAAACTGTTCAACAAAAGGAGTGCAGAAGGTTCTGTGGGAGAATACGGGCAGCACAGCTTCTTCTGCTGAGTGTGGATTTCAAGTCAAATTCAACTTGAGTTGTGCAGTTAAACAATTTAATATTCAAATGAAAGAACTGCACTTAGGATTTTCAATGATTTAGCTGGAAGGTTTATCTTTCCTGCTACCTTGTTGAGTGTAGCTAATGTTTTTGGGAAAGGGGGTTCAATTGATTAAGCCACTTAATTAAAAATAAGCTTTAAACAAAGATTATAATTGATTAAACAGGAACAAAAAAATGCTCAGACAGCACGCTTTCTGTAAATATTTAGATTTGTTGTCCTTTTTTGTCTTCATTTTTTTTTTAAGCTCCCTAAACCAAAATACATCCCAAAACATACAGGGCCTATTACCATCACTGGGCCAGCCAAATGACATTACATCCCAAACTGCAGTCTATCTGACACAGGTTCCTCCACTCTGGTTCGGAATATCTCCCGGCGTCTGCTATGAACTCTTTAATGTGAACCTAATGTGAGAGCTGGAGGAAAACAGGCTTCAACAGGAAAAGGGAGGATGAAAAGAAAGAGAAACATTTTTCTATTTTCCAAAAGAGATCAACTGTTGTGTCCCTCCCCGTCAATCTAAAAACAATCCAGTTACATTCAAAAGTTTCTAGAGCAAAATCAGGGAGGACGAACTGAAGGACTGGTTGCTGACAGGACGTCCTGTGAGCTGTTGTGAGGAGGGGGGGTCCTTCTGTCCACTAGCTGTGGGAGGACACGTCCGAGGAGCTGCTGCTGTTGCTGTTGGTGGTCTGCGCTCGCTTGATGTACAGGTTCAGTAACTTCATCTGGAGACAAGATGAGAGACGGTCATTACTGTGGAAATGTATCTTTTAGGTCTCATAGTTCTTTGTACACTTGTTTTTGGCTCACTAGCTGCAATGTCTATTGTCAGACAACGTACGGAGGTTACCTGTTAGAAAGAACATGTCTTGTGTCCCTTGGTTTCCCGCTCCTGTATAAAGGACTTTTTTGTTCTGTGTGATTTGGTCAGATGCTGTAGCACTAGCTGCTTCTAACATCTGGCCTTCCAGCTGGATATAGATTGTTTCTGTTAAATGCTTTAACTCTTCATTACATAACACAACTCTGGTTTCAACTTGTACATTTGTCTATTTCTCAACATTAGGTGATTCATTCTGGAATTTCAACCAGTCATCTTCCCTAAGTATCGCACACATATAACAACAAAGAAAATAACATCTCTGCTGTGCACTTATGTGCAATATGTATATATACTGCTTTATAATAATAATAATTATTATTATTATTATTATTGCTGGCTGCTATCTCTTAGTTAGACAATTCACCTGCTGTAATAAATCAGTAAATGACTGTGTAGTATATACTTCCACTTTGAATAGTGCTATCACACTTGAGTTATTTAGCAGGGACAGTGCACATTAATAAACCTTTCTGTAAATGTGCCAGTTAGCCAAGATGCTATTTTTCATCTGTAGTCGCTGGACAGATGTTGATAGTCACCCTAACAAATTATTTCATTGAAAATGACAAGTTAATACAATCAGTAAAAACATACAATACGGTAAATACTAATAAAAAACAAAAACAAAACGTACATATTACATAGCAAGAAGACAACAACAGGCTGAGGCAGACAGAGGGCTGTACAGTGCAGCAGGTCTGCACACTTGCAGTTGACCGTAGGATAATAAAGTGTCGGAGGTGAGGTGAGGCCAGGGATGGTCGTGTGCAGAAGGCAAGCACTTGCATGTGTGAAGATGTTGTTGCAGGTCAACAAGTTGTCTTTTTGAAGTATTGGGAAGTGATGACAATGTACAGATTTCTTGTCTAGCTTTTTAAGTTTTGTCCACATGCTACACTTTTCTCCTTCTTTTTAAATACTGTTACTGGTACTTTTTCTTGTCCATCATGGATGTGTATTTTGGAAATGGTATCAATATTTGATGCATGCCTCTTGATTAATCATTTGCTTTTTGGCTCTTCACTTTTGCTGTAATAATGTAAATGTCCCCTCTGTGGGACGAATAAAGGACTTCTGATTGTGAAGGCAGAATCCCTCATGCATCGACACCACAGGCTGTGAGCAGATCAATCTGACAGTGATGGATTTTTGAGATACATTATTTATGTATACACCATTATGTCCATCAGTGATTCCCAACCTGGGGTCAGGAACAACACAAAGAGTCAACGGATTCATGTGAGGAAAGCAGAAACAATAGTACAAAATGTATCCTCATTTCTCAGACATGTTTTCTTTGTAAATTAGGGGCTAGATTTACTAGGAGGATTCAAATGGAATAGTAAGGAATCACTCTTTGGTTACAGTGGATAGTCATATTTTGGAGATTTGAAGAGGACATGGCATTGCTTTGTGGTGTGACAAGACACACATCGGAGTCCACTGCTGTACTTGACATACTGCTATGGCTGTTCCATCGTGGAAGTATCGGAGTGGATCTTAGAATACAGGAAGTGATAAAAGCTGCAGAAGATGCCTTATGTTACACCAAATAGTCGATTCAATTAGTATGAAATGTTCATTTTTCCTCGGGGTCGGCAGTGTCTCCTTTGCCTCTCCTGTTCCTCTGCATTCAAAAAGAGGTTTGAATTGAATTTGAATTAAAGAAAAAGTTGCCCTTTTTTGTTCTACTGAATTGCAACTCCACAGATTTTGGTGTGGAGGATCTATCTCTGATCTTTTTATTGGAAGCTGGACTGAATAAGTGACAGAACCGCAGAATGTTCTTCATTATGATTTAAGGGAATGTAATATGAAGCTCAGCGCAAGATCTATCCTTTCATTCAATAAGTATGGGCGTATCCCTTAGATTAACCAATCAGACCCGCCTCATCTCCCACAAGCCAATCACCGAGCATCCGGCAAACTTTAAATCTGCTCCTTGCCCCGTGAGCTTCCATTTCAGCCCCCCTTCAGCCCGTTCATCACATCCAGGACCCATGTCATCCCAGGAGGACCCTCATCACTTCCAGCTCCACCACCACCAGTGTCTGGACCCCGGGGGATCACCTTTCCTAGTTGGTTTCTCCTTCCACCTGGATCACATCACAATGGGGTCTAATCGCCAAAGACGATTTATCTCGCCTCTTTTACATATGGCAATACATATGTTTACCGCACCAAACTACTCAAAGTCTCTCCTGATTGAAATATTATCAGTAAAAAATTGTTGATCAGTATCAGTCAGGACATTTTACTACATCATTAGTCAAGTTAGTACTTAACTATGTTTTTTACTTTCCTAATCAGGTTGAATGCTAATTTGTATACCTTTTCTGGAAACACGATTACACTGCTGGGATAAGTATTTGTTTGCTGTAAGACTACATGCCAAAGTACAAGTAGAGAATGTGACGGTGCTCCAGCCGTCCATACGGTGTGTGTCAGTCTCCTTTCAGATAAGCAGCTGTCCAACAGATCTGAGGGGAGGGTCCCCCCATACAGGTGAACCTGACCCTCAGACCTCAACCCTTACATAACACATGTGTCCTTGTGTAAAGTAGGGCAAATATGACCCTTTCTAATTGGACAACCGGCCGAAACTCACTGAGAAATAACAGCATGGGAAGGTGATAAGACTCTGCATCTGCTGAAGAGGTTAAAAAGGTTGTGTGTGTGTGTGTGTGTGTGTGTGTGTGTGTGTGTGTGTGTGTGTGTGTGTGTACTATCTGATGATGAACATAATCAAGGGTTACCCATTCAAACCCTATGGAGGTCATTTTTGACAGGGAAAATCATAGGTGTTACAAAGTTGACTAAACCACTCAAAATTTAATTAAAGTGGTGATAAGAAATGTTATATGTTCAAATGCCCACTGTGGAGGATATCATTAGGCCTTGAAGCAATCAAATTTAAACACAATGCTTATGAATGATGGAAGTAGTAAACTGATCAGATGTGACCCGAACATGACAGGAGGGTTGAAAGTGTATTTTTGTTTAGCATTTTTGTGAGTTTTATCCAATTTACTAAACATTAATTTCAGGGTTGTATGAGCATTAAATGTAATCTATTCCAAAATAAATGGTACAATCCAAACCTATGTCTCTTTAACACTACAGTAGTACCGCCAACGGGTCAATTTTACCCGCAGCTGTTTTTTTGATTGAATGTAAAAAAATAAATAAAGTTTCATCCCTGTGCGATCAAAACTCACTGTTCTACATGATAAATAAAAGAACATTGTACCTTGAAAATCAATAGCGGGTACATGTGACCCGTTGGCGGTTCTAGTGTTAAAAGCTGTGTCTAATCTAACATCTTGTAGGTTTTAAACTCAGACCTGCAGGAGTCCGGGGATGATGTCGGGCAGCAGCAGCAGCAAGGAGTCCTTGGCGATGCGTTCAATGACTTTGGTTTGCATCTTGATGGCAGCCAGGTTGATGGGGTAGTCGGCTGTCTGCACTATGGGGCACAGCACCTTGATGCACTGCTCCGGGTGGATGGAGCCGGCCAGGGTGGAGGCCGCCTCCTCGGCTGCTCGCACAACCTAAAGCACATCAACATGTACACATAGGATTATCAACAAAAATAAGCAGAACTTGTAACATCAGTTTGTGTATGTATTGGAGCAAGGTGAAAGCACAACTGCAGTAGATTCAAAAGGTCATTCTGGGAAATAAATCAACAAAGAGCTTTACTCTTTACATGGATCGATGGATGAGTTTAATTTGCTGTCAGACTTTGAGCACAGATTCTTTCTCCCAAACTGTGGATTCATATTGATCTGGAAGTGTTATGAAAGTGTTGTCTCACTGTTTATCCGGTGTATTGTGTGTTCCACGATCTGTGTTCACCCACTGTGTCCCCGCTTGTGTAGGAGGATCATTCTGAAGGTTCCTCCTGAGTGGTCCTGAGCTAAAGGCTAACTTATTGAGTTCACCCTTGTTATTGTTCTCTATCGATAATCAGATCATTAGTGAACCTCTAACAAAAATTGGCACTATGAGCACTCTATAAAACCTTTCAGAGTAAAAGATTTGACACAATTGTAGGGTATTTTCCCACCTTTGAGTTTTTGTGGAAGTTTTATCAATAAATATCTAAAAGCAAAGTGAATGTTTGATTTCTTCACGTTGACACAAACATGATTCCAAAGAAAAGCTCATGTTCCATGTCTGCCAGATGTATAAGTGGGCAACAGTTTGGTGATTTGCCTTTCAGCCTGTTCTGCTGCCCCTAAGTGAAGAGGAACATGCTGTAATGCATCTTTAGGGTGATGAAGTGTACCTCCTTGTGAGAGTCCTTGTGAGCCTCCAGAGTTTTCATGATGGTAAGCTCAGCGTAGTTTTTAAAGCGCGCCGGCTGATTCCTCAGGATTTCTTTCAGCAAACGCAGAGCCAGGGCCCGGATGGTGTGCTGAGGGGAACAGAGGGAGGGTGATCAGTTCAATGGACAAATGTCTCTGCTGGATATCCATATGTGCCAACAATAAATGACACCTATGACACCACTGTTGTGCAACAACACTTAGGTGCAATGTCATCCTAGTTAATATTACTATAACTACTGGCTGCCACTTCTTAGTAGTCTATTCCAACAAGAATCTGTTTGTTATTATGTCAATATATAATTGTATCTACTACAGCAATCTAACCGCTACCAAACAGTATCTTACTTTCCTATTTTCCCTGAATGTGTATGTCTGTAAATATGTTCTTTTTATTTGATTGAAATACTATGTGCATGCCTTTTTGAACTAATAGTGTGTTATGTTTGGTCTCTATCTATACTTCTGTAACAATGTAAATGTCCCCTCTGTGGGACTAATAAAGGAATTGTCATTCTGATTCAAAACCTAAATACTACGAGGTTCACAGCGTCAGGCTTATTGGTACATGTTAGGCTCAGAGGTAATCAATGCCCTCCACACATACATTCACACAGTCTGAGTGTGTGTGATCTCTACAGGAGCCACACACACATTCACACAGTCTGAGTGTGTGTGATCTCTACAGGAGCCACACACACGCAAAGCTGCTGAGTAACGCACGTCTTTATCCCCCAGCGTCTCCAGCAGCAGGAGCAGGATGGTTTTGAAGTGTTCGTCCCACACTGCCAGGTTGTCCTCTCGTGTGATCTTCAGCAGCTCCACCAGGGCGCCTTTACGCTCCTCAGAGCGCTCGTTGTGATTGGACAGTTCCTTAAGCAGGTCTGCCACCAGGTCCGAGTGGTCCTGACCGCCTGCTGCATCAGAGAGCATGAGGTAAACATTAATTACACATTCAATTGAGCATCAACAAATACATTACCCAACATTTCTCACTGAGGATACATTGAGTATTTCTGATTCTATGTATTTATCACTGTGCAATATTCATGTGTGTAGTAAAAAAGGGTAATATAATGTGTTCTGCAGGTTCAAATGTCTACATATATTAGATCTAGATATAGTTAATGACTGAGAATATGCACTTCAAAAATAAGCTGGATACATCCGAACATCCGGTCCATTACAGAGAATGGGACAGCTGTGAATAGAAGCTTGATAGCTAGTTCTGCAGGACACACTGAATCAGTGAACACACAGGTTCTATATGGAGTTCAGAGCAGTTGGGAGACCATCAAAATAAATGTTGATTTGAAATGATTGAATAATGCAATCACACACAGAGGGTGAGTGGAGTGAGTACATGTCGGTCAGTTTTCAGGTGAGGCATGTTTACCAGGAGCAAAGACCTTGGGGAGCGTCATCTTGTTTTCACCACTTTCCTGCCGTCGGCCTGGAGGGGAGGGGTGGAGGAGGGATGGAGGTGCAGGTGAGGGACAGAGCAAAGAATGTGATGACCACAACCAAACACACTGCAGCCCCTCGATTCTAAGACACACACCAGTGTTTGTGGTACACATAACGCAGAGTTAGACCTGTTGCGTCAACGTTTAGCCACGTAATGGGCGAAAGTCAAAGCTGGCTACACAAACTAAAGCCAAACATGTGGTTGAGCTCATTCTTGTTTCATGTCTCAAATGTACAGAAGTTGAAGGGTGTCTTCCTCTATGTTGTCGATGAGACTAAATTATAAATACTGAATGATCAGAGTGAAAGACAGGAGAAAATTAATTAATGCTTTTAACAGCATAACAAAAAGAGAGAAATGTCTTCGGTTTGCCTCAGAGAGCTCAACATTTACAGTACTGGAAGAAATGTAATGCATTCATTGTAATGATAACACAACATCTCAGTTGTTCATGGGAAGACCTTTCAATATAAAAATGTGTTTAAGTGACAAGCAGGGTATGACTTAAATCTCCTTATTGCACCTCCGAGGGAGTGCAAGGGACACAATTTCAAAATAAGAGAGCTTCTAACTCTTTGATTGCTCTTTACTGAATATCATAAATACAGTATAGTACATTCTGATGTCCCATGATTTCTTTCTGCTGCAATAATGCCCTCCCTCCATATAAACACTTGTATTGCCTTAACTCACAGTCGCGGAACTGCTCTACGTCATCGTCGAACACGGCCTCCTTCATGGCGCTCTTGTCATAGGTGCAAATGGTCTCTCCGTAGCCATAAGGGGCGAACTCACGGCCCCGTGGCCCCGAAAAGGAGCGGGGTGACGGCGTGTTGAGCAGGGAAGTCTTGTTGTCTAAAGCGGTGCGACCTCCTTCCACCACGTCTAAACCGAGCCGAGCGTCAGAGCCAGGAGAGGACGCTACGCCCTCTCTTCCTGCCTGTAACACAGGGAGGGAGGGGGTGGGAGAATATGAGAAAGCATTCTGAAGATGTATGTGTACCTGCAGCTTTCAAAACATTTGATGTGGACTGTTGCCTGAAAAGCTTTATACAGAGGCCCAGTTCAGCTCGGGGTGGGACAGTACCTGCTGAGCTCACTGCAATCTGCTCATTTTGGTAAAGATTGTGAGGGTTCAGCAGTCTCCGTTAGTCATATCAATTTAGATTCAACCAAAGCTGAAAGCTTTATAGTCATTTTTACAGTAGGAGGAAGGATTCAGGAAAGCGCTAACTCACCGCGTCGTCCCTCTTGCCCTCCTGTCTGATTGGCTCGTTCAGGTCCTCCTGGCTCCGGTAGCTGAAGCTCTGGATGGCCTCAGTGACACCGCGCAGCGAGCTGTAGATCTCCTCAGAGTTCATGTTTTCAGTGTCGTACTCCATCATGCTAGCAGACACACAGAGAGAAATACACACACACGGTTTATTAGACAAGTATTTGTGTTGAAGATACACAAGCATGCATTTGTTTTGTCACCATGCAAAGTGCTGTTTTGAAAAAGTGATTAGTTTTTAGAAAGAAAAATATTGGGACCATTGTGTATTTTGAATTGTACATGTCCGTGTGGCGCAGTGGGTTAGTGCGTTGGTGTTGGGATCAGAGGGTCACAAGTTCAAACCCCACTGCAGTCAGTCGTTGTGTCCCTGAGACACTTCACCCCAAATTGCTCCTGTGGGGATTGCCCACAGTATTGAGTATTTAAGTCGCTTTGGATAAAAGCGTCGAACATGTAATGTGCACACATCCTAGCATTAACCCGCTTGAGAAGCAATGTGAATGATATTTTCATTTGATTAGTGATTATGGATTAATATGTATTCAGTGAGAAAATGAAAGGATCAGGGTCAGGCTTCTTGCTGTTGTGATGGCCTCTGTGTCTGAGCCCGCCTCTTTACCTGGGTGAATATGCTCTGCGGAGGACCCTTAGGGAGGGGGCAGCAGGGGTGGAGTGGGGCTGAGGAGGAGGAGGAGGAGGAGGGGCAGGGGGATGCTTTGACAGTCCGTCGCCACCCCAACCCCATAACCGACTGTTGCCACAGCAGCCGGGAGGGAAGGATGGACAGACAGGGGTGAGAGAGTGGGGCGAGGAAAATGGAAAAAAAGAACAGGTGGAGACAAGAGAAGGAAGGAGAAGGAGACAAACACGTGTGCAGAAAGAGAAAAGACAAAAAGAAACTAGTCTGAGCTTGTAGGTTAACTGAAAGTGTAGATTTAAAAGGAGAGAACTGGAAGGTAGCAGAATCCCACAACATTTCAGCGAGGGGGCACTTTTCAATGAAAAATATTATTTCAACATGACATTCATTTCAGGATTAACTAAAGTCATTAAAACCAGGAAATGATTTTGACACATCATCTGGGTTCATGGGTTTCTGCTAGCAGGTACAAACACTCTGTTCAGGCAGAGGGGATAAAAGTGTTCCTACCACTCAGTGGCCACATTCAACTGGCACAGAAGCAAGTGCAAAGGCTACAACATGTGCTGTTCTCTTTCACAGTTTTGTATATGAAACAGCCTTATACAGGACAGCACCAACGAGCTGGGTGTCTAAGGCACTACATATGTTATGGATCAACCAAGTGGGTTTTGGAAGAATGATTTGACCTATGAAGAAAATGGGTTGGCTTTTTTATTTCTAGCAAGTTGTAACCTCTCTGAGCACCTCACACAGTACCTTGCTCATACCAACCAATAGGGACAGCAGCAGTATCTACAGTGCCAAAGCACAGCCATGCAGTGGGACAGGAGGTGTGTGGGCTCAGTAACAGGTGGGAGAGGGGCTACCTTGGAGACAGTCCTCCATGGGAACAGTTTGTTGGAGAGGTGAGGGGGCTGGTCCTGCTGGGGGTGTGGCGAGTCGGCGTCCGGCCAATGGTGTTGCTGGGAGAGCCCTGGAAGAGAGGAAGACAAGAAGGAAAGGTGTAAACCCTGCTGTCTGATGGTTCTGCTGACCTACACACACCCAACTGTGTTTAGCACTGTACGGTAAGAATTTGCGGATAAATACAAAGTTTTTTATATGAGTTTGGCTTCTGTGAGAATTCTGAAGTGATGAAAAAGAAATACTGTAATTTATTATGGTAACCAAACTTACGATCCTTATATCGATGATTTAACATGTACATCAATTATGTTCGTATTGACTTTATTGCCGTGCAAATGCATTCGTTCAAGGCCTCTCTGTGGCCATAAGGTAATCATGTTCAAATTTGTAATCTCAAGTGTTTGTATTGTGATTGTGGAAACTTGTTTTTTTCATTGTAATATTTTTGTATTCCTGGCAGAAATGGGCTTCCATAAAATCAAATCAACACTACAGTGTTTGATCTGACTCACCACACTGCTGCTGGTGTTGCTGGAGTTCTTCAGGTGGTTATGCAGCAGTTTGGTGGCTCCGTCCTGGAACGTTTTGGGGAGGGCTCCCAGCAGCATGGTGAACTCTGGGGTGTTGAGCTCAAACAGAGCGATGAGCACCACCTGTGCCGCCTGCAGGACGTTCAGAACAACGGGTCAGGACTGAGGACACAGCTGAGGAAGTTCAGATGGTTTCCCTGGTTCCTTAACTACTTTGACCATGTGTTCCTGACAGACCTTTCTCCAGAGGGGATCAGAGGCGCTGTTCTGACATTTAATAATGATCAAAAAGAAGAGGTTCAGTTATAATTTACTGTTATTTTTTGAATATCAGAACTTGTAGCACAACAGCAACACGAGGCAAGGGGTCACTTTGATAAAGGTCAAAACTATTCTGAAACCATGGAAACCAACTGTTCAGCTCCTCAGTGCATTTTTCAGTAGACTCACATGTGCATTAGCCTGTAGAAAGAAACTGTTAAAAGCTGCATTCAGTGGGAAACTAATGAAGTTAATAACTATTCAAGAACATTGTTGATATATCAATGTTGCAACATGCAAGTGAGAATAGATCAAACTTGTAGGGGAGTTTAGAATAAACCTGATTTGTTTAACTGAGCTATTGCTTATTTGAAGTTATTATACTGCTGCTATTTTACCATGGTGTACATATCTGCAATTTTCTTTGTCTTTTTTACTTATTGTGTTATTAATAACGTGCACATACTTAGTCATTTTCTTTATTTGTTAGTCTATTCTCCTCACTTTATCTGAACTACCTGCTGTTGTAACAATGTAAATCTCCGCGTTGCGGGACAAAAGGATTCTGATTCTGATTGCTCTTAAAATAAGTTTGAATAGATGAATGGACTAACAATCTGATATGTATATATTTATGTTGTTCCTGTTAAGTTTATGTAGACTTGTCGTATGTTGCTTCGGACCAGAGTAAATAAGTGTAATCAAATATGATGTAATCATGGATAACTTTTGAATACTGTTATTGGGATAATAACGTTTTTATAACCAGCTTTAGAGTCATATTTTGAATTTCTCTTGTACAGTACATACATAGAATGTTAACAACATGCAGGTACAAGTGTGAAAAAGAGGTTGTTAATGTGAGTCAGAAAAACAAATGTGCAAGGCACACAGAAGAAACAAAACGGCATTCCTATCAATACAATTGACTTGGAAGTCCGTTCGCACAAAGCAACAAGCATTTCCTGTCCTATTCAAAAACATTCCAGGTTAAAGGTCCCACGCTCCTTCTGTGGGTGCACACCAGGCGGAATCTATTTGGTGAGTGATCAATTTGCAAGCACAGAGTGGATTTTAAGTTGTTACAGCGAAACAGCTGGAGCTTCAATCCTGAAAGTGAGTGACAGACGCCACACTGGAGCTTCTCTGTTTCTAGGTGGTGGTTAGGCACCGGGAAGAGGGGGCATTGCGTGCTTATCGTGTCGTGATTGGTAGCTGGCGGGGCTCTACCTGCTTACACCTGTCTTCCTGGTTGCCCTCAGCGGACAGTAAGGCTGCAGGGCTGGACCTGCCCGCTAGCTCCTCGCTCACCCAGCTATGAAGGGTCTGGGGCACAGTGGGGGTAATATGGGCATTACAGAAAGACACAGGACCCCCAACCTCACATGTGGATGCAACACTCACCCAATCCTTCCTAGCACTAACCTTTTTGTAGTATGCCAATGAACAACAGCAGTGTAACAAACAGGATGGGACACGAGGGAGGACATGTGACATGCGTCAGACAGGGGGAAGAAAATGGGCCAATGACCGAAGGCCGTCCACACTGAGAACCTTTTATCAAAGTTTACTACTGTGGCTGAACAAACAATCCAGCCTGAAGAATTCAAATGATAACAAGTGTGGAGGTTTACAAGATTCCACTGGCTGTCCAGTGTAAATCTGGATTATTCCTAATGCAAACAGAGATGATGTGTCGTTGTAGTCAACTCACAATGCACATCTTATTTTAACCTTGTTACATAACGTTTTACTAAACACCTCTAAGCAATTAGTTTCGCATTAAGCTTGCTCACCCACTTTTAATGTTATTTTTAAAAAAAATTGTTTAGTATGGCATTACTTCCTATGGAGATTATATATAAAAAATAATTTATGTTGAGGGAAAAAAACAAAAAAACAATAGATTTGATGTGAGATGTAATCTGTTCCCTTCTCATTCTTCGTGGGTCCTACATCTTCTGGTTTAGAAGGGTTACATTGCACCATGAGGATTAAAGCAACAAATATGTCATGTGTCACATGTTGTTTTAACCAAGGAATCAAAAATACATTCATATTCTCTGATAACTCCAGTGTGCTGAACAAATGCTTACGACCTCAATTAGGAACAAAAGGAATTTTCTTTAAAAGAAAATGGGATGAAAACCAAAAACATTATTCTGCAGGAAAAGGTCTGTACAAGCAGAAAGATTTGGACAGTCAGTGCTGGATAATGTGGCCTACCTTCCTGACATCAGAACTTTTGGGTTCAGTGGTCCAGGTGATGATGCGAGAGACGGCCAGGCGCGTCTCACTGGAGTTGACAAAGTCTGTCGGGTCCATCTGCCGGGCCAGGGTGTCGATGTACTTCAGAATGGCCACCTTAACCTGAAGAGACAGCACACGTTCAGTCATGTGTGACAAAAATGTTCCATCAACCACACTGAGCAAACCAAACCAGGTCTGTGAACAGAATGAGGGTTTACCTTCAGGTTAGGGGTCTGAGTCTGATCCACGATGAACCGCATCAGGATGTTAAACTGCTGATCGAATGGGAAGGAATCCCTGACACACATAAAGAAATGAGAGGTTATCTTTTTGCTTTCCTATGATGGAACATTATTGAACAAGCTTGACTGCTCAATAATGAGGTTGATCACTAATTCAGAGGTATAGGAAATCACGTGTCCTTCAAACAGATCTCCTTCAAATAAGCATGGGAATATATGAAGCTATCATGCCACCGTTATTCTGCACAATATAATCCCGATAATTATCAAACATGCTTATACACGTTTATAAAAGCATTAAAACATAGTGGAATCACGTGGACTTACATTTGACTTTATTTGTGTTGCATCCCAGATGTTTGATTGTCTTTTTTGTGAAAAACTATCCTACACAGGGTTATAATATAAAGGTAAAATCATAATAAATAAATAAGTAACAACATTGTGTGAATCCATTCTTTTCTACTTTCCTTGATTCCTAAAATAAATCTCCAATTATATTTTTTTAAATAACTACTTAATGGTTGTGATTTTGCTGCCAATAATGTATTAACTCTCAACATTCACCACAGAGTGAGTCAGAGAAAAGCACCAAAAATGAAATTTACATTTCTCTAAATCAGTGGTTCCCAACCGGTGTGCCGCGAGCAATGTCCAGGTGTGTCGTAGAATATTTTTGTTTTATGTTCCAAATGTTTTTCTCACTTAATAAACTTCACTTCATGTATTACATGTACAATGGAGTTGATAAGCTAATAAAACATATATATTGCTCAGATTTAGAAATATTAAATTGAATATAGCCTCATACTGACTGCTTAAATTCTCACGTCAGCCGTCATTGTTTACGGCGTGCAGACTGCAGAGCAGCTTTTATCCTCGCGCCAAAGCATTACAAGAGTAATGAGAGTGGGAGTGCTGGAGGAGAGGTTTGAGTCATATTTCCCTCCTGTGAATGAAGACTTCGATTGGCTCCGGGAGCCGTTTAATCCTCTGTCATTAATACCAGCCACTAACAGCAGAGCTCAGGATGAGCTCGCAGAGCTATAGGAACGCTCCCTGAAACTGGAGCACGGTGAACTACGTCTGGATATCTTTTGGCTGCTTGTGGGACACGAGTATCCATCCCTCTGTGCGAGCTGGCGTTTTCCTCACTCATATGTCCAAAACAAGACCCGCACCTGGCTGTCAGTGGAACAGGACCTCCGAGTGGCAATGTCCACTATCGCCCTCCCGCCCCCCCCACATCAAGAGACTCTGCTCCCAAAAGCAGGAACAAGTGTCGCACTAACATGTGCCACACATCGTTTTTTTTTTTTGCTGTTTCCCCGTTTGCTGTTTAAACGGATTATTCTGTTATAATTATTATTAAGTTATTATTTATTTTAAGTTATCATAGGCCCACCTCTTTTGAAATCCAAATGTAAAATAATAACTCAGAAGGAGAGTTGGAATGAAAATGACATGTATTCTCGTTTTTACACAAACCAATTGATGGTGTATTTATTGTTTATACTTTAAGCTCTGAAGTGGCTTTTAAATCTACGAAAAGTCGGTGTGCCTTGGGGTGGAGAAATATTTTCAGGTGTGCCTTGGTAAAAAGGTTGGGAACCGCTGCTCTAAATAGATGTTTGGGGAAATAATTTCAAGCCCCTTTTCAGTGTAAAAGAACAGCAGCCACTGATGTTTGCTGTGCCCCCCTGTGGCCCGGACAGTTTGAACTGGTTAAAGACCTTGTGATATCCAGGGCCTTCTGGACTTTGGCCTGCACGGAGCCCAGCAGGTCGGCCCCCATCTTCTTCAGCAGCTGGGTGAGCAGCACAAAGAGCCAGTCCTGCAGGTCCTCCCTGTGCACCAGGACGAAGTCCACCAGGGTCTCCAGGAACATGCTGAACACCTGAGCACACATGCACACTCATTACTGATTACTGGTTTAAATAGGATGAACCTGCTCATGTTCAGACAGGTACATGCCGGTAGTGATATGGATAGAAAAAACACTTACTCTCTGTTGTTAAATCCACAGCAAGGCAGGCCATGCAACAAGAGACACTGATTAGTTTCAACAGGCAGGCTCCATCGCTGTATTTTAGACACCATGCCTTTACACTGAGTCTTATCTAGTTGCGCTTCAGTTAGTGCAGTCGTATTCTTTACCTTGCTATGTGGGTCTGCAAACATCCTTGTGAAGATCTCACAAAGTCTCTTCAGCTCCACTCGGCTGCAAGCGACAGAAGAAAATCATCAGGGCAGGGTTCACATCTTTTTTTGGTTTTGAACAACACTTATAAGCACATCTTTTTTTGAATTGGCTTATATTAAGTGTCACTAATTATGCTCTTTACTTATTCTGTAATTTATTTGATACTCGCTTTTTAAAAAAAAAAATTTCTATATACAGTTTATACACAGTATGTTCACGCAATACCTGTAATATTATAAAGAGACAAGAGACACTGGACATTTATGTCACAATTTATTTTGGTCCAGTTTATTCAAAAATAATTATACTTTATATGGCCTTCATTAGATTTATTTTCAACCCCCTCAAGTTTTTTGCTATATTTGATGTCATTATACTTTGTCTAAACATCTGCGTTTGTGCATATGTCGATATGTGTATGGTTGTGTATTTACTGTGTAATATCACTGACGGTCCAAACAGTTCAAGTCTAACTTCTCTTTTGGCTGTTCACTCAGTTAAAAGCTTTTTGAAATCTAACACACTGTATGTGAGCTGGATATAGTACCAAAGCTCATATTTGCCCTCTGAGCCCAGCCCACCTGAGTATCCTCTGGCTTTTGAAGAGGTTCTGCAGGCCCAGCAGGCCCTCCTTCCTCTCGGACCAGTTGGAGCTGGCACAGTGGTTCAGGACCTCGGCCACGTCTTCCGTCTGCCGCAGGTAGTGAGGGATCCCTCCGTTCCTGGAGCTGTACGAGCGCTCCGAGCAGGCACTGGACGCGTCGCTGTTGGCGTCGTCGTCAGAGTATATCCCCGGGGATTCGTACCTGCGCCTCATCGGCTTTCTCTGTGGGAGGAAGAAGATTGTGATGGAAATGTGACACACAATTTGATTCCTAAATGTTAACAAGGCTCTGCAGGATGTGTTCTGGTTTGCATCAGGGAGACATGCACTCAGTACATTTCATCTTTTATTCTCTGGATTTTATTTATCCGTTTAAAAGGAAATTCAGTACACAATTGTGATATTTATTTTCTGTAAATACGTATTAGGGCCATAATATGCTAAATAGTAGAATAAATACACTGAGCTAGGGAAGGGGGAATATTTCAGTAAAAAAACAAAAAAAGTGTAGAATTTCAAAGATAAAAGACAACAAATGGGGAAAATCTATGTGGTTGATCATTCATTAATGTGCAAGATAATTTTTTTAAATTCTGAGATAATAGTCACAAATTAAAACATTGAAATAGCCAAGGAACGGCATGGCTTCAAAAGCTGTGGTGAGATAAGGTTGTGACATCCAGTCACAACCTTATCTCACCACAGCATCTCACCCCAAGACATCCAGGATGCTTGGCAACAAAACAAATGTCTTCACATATATATCATTGACATGTTTTTTTCTCTTATTGTTCTACGACTTTAATCTCAGAATATTACCCCTCTCTCCCGGCTCCTAGTAATCTTTTGTAGTTTTCTGTAATGGCTCTAATACGCTGTCGTAAATTCCTCAGTTGAAAATGAAATTCACTTTTGATTTTTGTTGATGAAATATGAACATCAAAGCCAGTAAAGCAGTGTGACAATAAAGCACAAATTAATAGAATAGTAATGACACAGCAAACAGTAGAGCATAGTTAATATCATGGACTTCATACAAACTAAAACAAGTATATGAATAAGGTACCAAAACTATTAGTTACAGCACATAATATTACAATGTGAAAAAAGAAGAAAAAAAATACAAATTCAAGGTTCATTCAATCAAACAGCAAGAAAGAGGGTTGAGGGGTGTCATGAGCCAGTAGAACAAATCAAGCTGCATTACTGTTTTCTGAACTTGATTAGTGCGGGACAGCATGGATATACAAACAGTATGTAAAGTGACCATCTACCTTATTCCTGGAGTCTCCTAACAGCTGAAATGGTAACAAACAACCAAGAGGGAAAGATGAGAGAGGGGAGCTTTAAAGATGGAACACACAATAAGTACACTACACATTTCACTGATCTCTGTGTGCGTGCGTGTGCGTGTGCGTGTGCGTGTGTGTGTGTGTGTGTGTGTGTGTGTGTGTGTGTGTGTGTGTGTGTTTTCACGCTCATGATGAGTGTCGCCCCCGGTAGTCTTGTATCACAAGGGTTCCAGTCTGACCAAATTATCTTAGTTATGGTCAGAGTGGTCAAAGAGGCCTAAAACGTATTAATTTAATGTCTTGATATGTATATTATTTGCGTCAGCGATCCAGGGCTGTATTTAACAAAAGTTACAAGTAATACACTTAATCATGATTAATAGATTGTGACCCGGATCCAAATGATTGGCTAAATATGTAAGGATTGAAAAAATTAAGTTGAAAAAGTTACGTTTTTGATAAAAAATAATCACTTACAATATTGTAATATGAGCCGATATAAAAACAAAGTTGCATGAAACCTTGCCTAGTGTTTGCTTCAAAAACAATCACATGTCAATAACAACATGATTATTATTCAGTAACAGCAGCTTACCAGAGCATCAGCCACCGCTGCCTCCACCTCTGTGCCGGTGTTCAGGACCCTCATGGCGTTGACAGAGGCAGAGATCCTGGCTTGGTGGATCAAACCATATCGGTCTACACAGGAAGGGGGATGAGAAAGATCGTAAGTCAATCTTAGTTATAAAAGCAAAAGTGGCCACTGCAACTTACCTGAATGGGTTCTTTCGTGTGTAACAAAACAAAGAGCAATGCACTGCAGATGAATGAGCTCAAAAGGAAAATATTCTCTAGTAAAAGAAGGAAGAAAAGAAAAACTAAAAGAGAGGATGACCAAGCCCACCAAAGATGCACCAAAGAGGAAACAACACTAATATGTTCTTAAATGTCAAGAATGAAAACAACAGAGGCACAACAGAGACAGTTCCATGAGAAGGGGCAAATAACAAAAAGTGAAGCTAGCTGAGTCAGCATATCAAACGCTGTAGATCATACATCCACAGAAATCACAGCTATAAATCAAAGACAATGAGGTGAGGTCAAGCAGATGAAAACCTAATGTTTCTCTTTTCATGCTAAACAAAAACAACTGGCCTTTCTTACCTTTCCTGTATGCTAAGTGCAATGCTCAAAAACACTAAAGTAAAAGGGAGGTGGATACTTCAGGTCACATCACTGAACATAAACACGGAGGCATGCTGGTTCAGTAGGCCTCTAAGAGGGAACCTGGGGGGTCTGAGAGGGGACTGGGGGGTCGAGGGGTTCTGGGCATGCAGGTCACCTGACTGGCTGTGGGGGTCGGCTGTGGAGAGAGCGCTGGTTGAACGGGAGTGACGTCGGGAGGCTGCAGAAGAGGTGGGCAACATTTGGGCGGGGGGGTTAGTGACACACACTACAGGTTTAAAGGTCCCATGTCATACTTTTCTGGTTATTACCCGTCCCCTTGTGTGTTATGAAGGTTTTTCTGCATTTAAACGGTCTGCAGAGTCACAAACCCTCAAAGTACACCCTGTAGCGAGTAAAACTCTAACACAGAAAAGACCTGTCTATGCTGCCCCAGAACGCCTCGTTGGACATGACTCTTTCTCCATTGTTTTCTTCCTGGGTATAGTGATGTATTTCAGGTATACAGTAGTGACGTAACGTGACATAACGGCTCCGCAGATTGCTCCAAATTGACTAATCCGCAGAGCTCACATGGAGGGGGGGGGGCAGGAGCTCCAACAAGCCGTGAATACACATACTATACAGAGATGCTGCATGAGAAACCAATGTGAGTTTGGAAAATTGCACAATATAAATCTATTTTAGTATACCTCAACAATGGAATTATTATTATTAATTATGATCAGTAGAAATGGCCATGACATTGGACCTTTAACACCGGCCTCTGAAGGTCAGTCTCAGCAGCAACTTTACCACTGCTGAACATCGAAAGGAACCCTGAGAGGCAATGGATTACTTGTTTTCTTTCTTTGAACACTGGTGAAAAGAAAGTATAGGCAGGTGATTTTCCTTTTCTTTTGACAGGATCTATTTTCTTGTACCACTCATTGTGACCCAAAGGGACTGAAGAGCCTGTACTACCCCGCACTAATGCTTACATTTCTCCATGTGCTCTTACCACAAGCTACATATATTTAAGTTAGCAGTTTAAGAAACATAACTGAACTGTGTTTACATTTGTTTGAAATATATTTTTAACATATCAATATGACATCAGGAATGACTTAAAGGTCCCATGTCATGCTTTTCCGGTTATTACCCGTCCCCTTGTGTGTTATGAAGCTTTTTCTGCATGTAAACGGTGTGCAGAGTCAAAACCCTCAAAGTACACCCTGTAGCGAGTAAAACTCTAACACAGAAAAGACCTCCCCAAAACGCCTCGTTGGAGATACGTCACTGTCCATTGATTCTTCCAGGTACCGCATAATGTCATGCGTTACCCGGAACCAAATGGACCAATCCGTGGAGCCGTTACGTTACGTCCGCGGAGCCGTTACGTTAAGCCCCCGCTGATTGGTCCAAATTGACCAATCCACAGACTTCCTCACACACACACTCAGTGCATGCAGCTCTGCTGATCTCTCCTCCCTGGCTGCAGGCTGATAACAGACAGTTGGGATCGCGGCAAAATTCTCTCTGCAGACCCATTCTCACAGCGTTTATCAACCTTTTTCTTACTCAATATCAAGCCACACTTATTGTTTTTACTTCGGCTGTGACTTTGTGTGTGCTCAGGGTGAGTTTGGCTGTGTTTCGCTGTGTATCGCTAAACAAGGAAACCACACCTCCACGGAGCTCAGCGCGATTCACAACGTCCCACCAATCAGAGCACACAGTGCTCACAGGGAGGGTGGGGGCTGGAGCTATTGGAGCTACAACGAGCCGTTAAAGGCAGAGAGTGAACTTCAGTGAATACACATAGTTTACAGAGATGCTGTATGAGAAACCAAAGTGATTTTGGAAAATTGCACAATATAAATCTATTCTAGTAGACCTCAACAATGGAATTATGATCAGTGGAAATGGCCATGAAATGGGACCTTTAAGATCAATTTGGAACATGGGATAGTAGTGCACCCTCTTGTGTCTGAAATTATTATTACAACAACAAACACGAGTGATCTAAAGCACACAAAAAACTGTTTTATATAAATTATAACTTAGGCAGTTTATAGTGGCAAAATAAAGTTGTTTGTTTTAGGTCAGAGCTTCCTTTATTTCGCCTCATCCACAGGTGTGTTATATTTAATTTGGAATCGTAATGAATTGGACAGAAAATGTGACTCTTGTTTTCAACCTGAAATGAGTGCTGTTGTTTTGATAGGATGTAAGAGTATTAAAGGAGATTACTAATAACCCCTTAATCTTTCAAACAGGACCACAGCTGGCCTAAACACCCTTTTTTATAAATATTAGTACTGATTATTTTGAGGCCTTAACAGAGATGTTATTAAGCTCTGCTGCAGTGGGAAAAAGGGTCCCTTCTCCATGTGTTACTATTGGATATACAGTTAGGTAGAGAGGGAGGTAGCCCATTATTCATAAACCATACCAGCATTGTATTCTTCACTTTGTAAACCGATGCTAAAGCACTGACAGTCCTTAATCTGACTCTAAAGCAGGGAGATGATACAGCACCACAGAGATACAGTTCAACATGTGGTATGTACTGCAAAAGACATCTGTACTGAAATTAAGACCACCAGCCTAGTGGTGTGAAAAACAAATTTGAGTTATGACATAATTTCCCAGAATGCAACAGCACAATACTATGAGCTGCAGTACCGGGTATTGTTTCTGGTGATGTCTTTTCTAAGTCTGGTCTTAATTGTTTTCTCTCCTAAATGCAGGTTTGGTCAGGGTTATCTTCCTTAGTCCCTAAATTCAGCTCTCAGTGAAAATGATTTCTGTTGTTAGTATCATGTGTTTGCTGTTGTAATGCTCATTTTGTCAAAAGAAAAAAGGCAACAACCTGTTCTGAATGACTAAAGCATTCATGTTGTCTGAGTGCATCGAGAAGTTAACATTTCACAGATTTTGCCTATTAAAAATCTAATAATAAAAAAAAAGTCAAACTGAAATCTGACACCAACACTCCCCCCTCCCCCCCCCACCCCACCTACTATGTCTGCACCTATGTGAAGATGAAAAAAATGTGGACATTTATAAATAGATAATCCTGCCAAACTCTTTTTTTTAAGTGCATGAGAGAAAACTATTTGGATCAGAATTTCAAAATGGATCACCAGAATTTCATTTCTCACTCAGCTCTCAAAGCTTCCATACAAGAGAAACTGGAAACAGTACATTCAACTTCTATAAACCCAGGAAGACATCATTAGTGCATGCACAGATAAATACAGGCAGACACAGAAAGCATGCTACAGATAACACCAACAGGAAAAGAGAAAGCTTGTGTGAGCATCTGGGAAGATTCTCCAGTCGGGACCCTCACTGGGAAAGGGGGTCCATGAGCTGAGCGGTACTCACCCAGAGGAGTGAAGCCCCGAGCAGGGCTGGTGTCGCGGCTGCTCTCGCGACTGGTGTCACGACTGCAGCCCTGACTCATGCTGGGGCGGGGGATGCGGCTCCGGGCTAGCGTGCGGTAGGGAAGAGCAGCAGGAAGAAGAGCTTTACCACACAGGCTGGCTGTCAGGACAACAAGTTAGATGGGAAGGTCAGCGCATTCATGAGGGAGAGACAGATGTGAGGAGCAGAAGAGGAGGAGAGATTCTGAAAGAAGAAGCCCTGCAGACTGTTCTCTACCTCTGTAAAGAGGTTTGACAACTTTTCATTTTGGATTTAATGGCATGAGTACTTTGAAAAACGATTGACAGTGTAAAGTTAAGAAGTTACTCTGTCTTGGTTAAGGTTTTTATACACACTGCTGTCTAAGGGAACAAGTTCTGTTAAACACCATTCTTTATTTCTGACATGGCTTGTATACTAGCCAACTAACACAACTACATGTCACATTTTTGTGAGGGTAATCTGCCACACAAATCATAAAAAATGGCTTTATATATCAACATGGGGGTTTCCATTATGCTGCTGAAACAATCAAGCAATATCGCTGAAGAGGTGTACAAACTCAGAAATGTTGCATCAGGCCAATTTAGCATTTTGCCCTGAATGAAAATGCGACAGGATCATAAAGACATACTTTACGATATGAGAATATACTCTGCAAACCTTAAGACCATCACTATTTGAATATTCTATGTGAACTAATGCACACTCAGACCGATCAATGAAAAAACGTCCTCCAGGGGCTCTGATGCCCAAGATATAAAGGAGGACAAAGAGGGTCTGGAGAGATAAGAAGCAGATGAAGAAGAAGTGAAAGTGAAGACAGGAAGAGGAACAGAGTCAGTGCCAGGATGCTGGTGAGTGAGCTGGTCAAACAGCATACTGCTAGTACGGGTTAGACTGGACTCCACAGAGCAACTCCAGCTTGTGTTACCGGGTGACAAGGACTCCATAAAGGAGAAAAGGACAAACACTGATCAAAAACAGTATCCTGTTCTCGTCAACAAAAACCTGTAAACATTAATAACCACTACCACATTTGAAAACAAAACCAAAGTGAAGGAACCTCAATTAATACGAAATATTCAACATTGTGGCAAAAGAAACATGCTTTCATGACCAGCACTACATCACCCACAAGCCCCACTGCCTCTCAACCAATCACACACCAGAATAGATCTGTGAGGAATGTGTAGCTGAAAACTAACTATGCATGACGATAACAGAACAGACATTGCTGTCTTTGTCATCTGCCTTATTGTCTGTGCAAATAATAAGCCCACAATGCTTTGTGGTGGACGGAAACAGTCTGAGCTTCAGTGTCTGACTGTTGCAAGGTTTCAAAGGACAAAACAAACACAAGGTTATCTCTGCATAAGAAATGAAAAGAAGGTCCAGTTTCACATGTTTTAGACATCATTCTGTGTAACGTTTGTATGACGTGGAGCATGCGAGTGGTCAGTGTTTGACTTGTTGCTGACTAGCTTCACTGTGCCTGCACAATTAAATGTGGATTTGACAAGAAGCAGACAAATTCAAATGTCATGAATCACATTACAGTGTCTTGTGTTTTAAGAGAGTGATAAAAACGTTCTTTCTACCGAGCAAGATCAGTGTATGGAAAAACAATGGGTATGCCTGTTGTGTCTCGCCTTTGTTTTAGCTCTTACTTCTGTCTTACAAATGCAAGCCACAGTAAATAACTTCTCTAGACTTTGACCCATTAGACTCTAACTGTCACTGAAGAAGTGTGTGCTTGGTGCCGTTCTCACCGAGGCCCAGGCGGGTAGGGCTGGTGTCCCGGCTGCAGCCCTGGCTGCGGGGGACGCGGCTGCGCTTGTCAGCAGGCGTGGTGGAGGCCGACACTGAGACCCGAGGGACCCGCCCGTAGCTGCTGTGGCCCAGCAGCTTCCCCGGGGAGCTGGAGCGACTGCCGGCTGTGGGAGAGAGACACGTACCGGGGTTACACAGCATCCAGGGGCTGAGGGAGAGGAGTAAGGAAGGTAAAACCTTCAATAACATGCTCAGTTTAATCTCAAAACTCAAGCCCTGTGGAAGCAGACCAGATGCTTTGCCGACAGTGCAACACCAGAAAAGGTGTTGTGACATATTATAGTGTCTTCTCCTATAGTTATTCATCTCAGTGTGGAGTCTTAACCTATGTCATGGATTTAGACGGATTGAAAGGTGAATTCATACGTTTTTTAATGATAACACGACAGTTGGATGTAAACAGAACACACGGGGTGAGGGGGGCAGGAACCACATGTAACTCTGCTATGGGGAGACAGTTACTGTGGAAAAACTTCAATAGTGAAAACAAAGAATACAAAGACAACAAAATGGCAAACATGTCCGACTCCATACAGCGCTCAAACTGTGGGGGAAGGTTATCAGAAATAAAAATGTGAATGTGAGGAAACATCTGCATGCTGCTAACCTACATGGTGAAACAAAGGTAAAACAGTGATGAGAATGGACGGGCATGCAACATTCTTAGAAGGAGTTGCTTTGTGATGAGCTCCTGAATTGTGATTGGATGAAGCTGAGGCCTTACCATTGATGGGATTGGCTGATCTGGATCCTGGGTGATGGAGGCAATAGGCAGGATAGGGTGGAGAACGGTCAAAATCAGACAGAAGGGGTTATGTTTATTGACTTTACCCAGCATGCACTCTGGCTTGTTAGCATGTTAGCTGCGACCTGATTAACAGCAGAAGCCCTGAGTGGCAAGCGAGAATAAAAAAAAATCTATTTTCTAAGTATGGTCTCAAATGTTTCCTCTCCTGTGTTCATTAATAAGACATATTTTTTCTGCTGTGTGTGTTTTGTTTGCATGCCTGCAATGGGATCTGTGGTTAACACAAGCTAAATAGTTTTCCACCTTTTGATTCATGACAAAAATTGGTCAGTAAATGTCTTGAATATCTGAAGCTTCTTTGCTAACAAGTGACTACATGAGACTACTAAACATCGCCACGCCAAACACAAGTCCACCTTTATCTGAGCAGTGGTGATGTGCAGCCATGTGACAGTGATGGAGTTCGTTTTTTAGCCATACTTACTTCTGGCGATTGCATTTAATAAATCAAAAGTCATGGAAGTGGTGTTAATATGTGGAGATTATTCTGCTGAACAAAACGTGTAAGTATCATTAACGTTTGTTTGCTAAAGACTTTATACAATGCAAACTTCTGGGGTCGTCCAAAAACATTCATCATCACACCACTCTGTACTGGCCCTGCAACACCCGTTTCTTAACTGTTCTGAAGTCATAAACACAGCAGAGATAACAATTAGATCAGACATTCGGATCCCCACATTTTCTCACTTGCCTCTCAGGGTTTTTTTAGCCCACTGACAGATCACAAGAATACATAGATGCCAACATACTGTGAATGCAGGTAGCCACACTTGCACAAATACAAACGATTTGTGACAGGAAGTGGTTTCAAGATTAAAATAACACACATACAAGAAACAGCAACACATCTACTCTAGTATGATCTCAATACAGACAAGATCATACGGAAACATGAGAGTGACAGACTGGTAAACAGTAGGCACAAACATAGCTGTGTACGGCTGAATGTGTGTGATGTTAGTAGTCTGTTATATCTCCAGCGTCACGGTATGGGAGCCTGTGTGGGGTGTATATACGTACGCTGGGACTGGGAGACGATTTTGGCTCGGCTGCGTCCCCTACTGTCCACCACTGAGGGGCTGGCCCCCCCCGTACTGCCCGAGCTCTGCCTCCTGGTACGGACTCGACCTGGACGACAAGGGAGAGAAGAGAGGCAGGGGGGTTTAATACACATGAATGACTTTCACCACAACCCTGGACAGAGTAGCTGGAGAGGAAAAAGTCTGGGGAGACAGTATGAAGAAGACCTGGATGAGGGGAAAAAGCCCCCCTGAAACACACAGCAGGGAAACAGACACACCTGGCTCTATTAGTTTGCAAATCATTCTCAGCGTGCGTTTTAACCTGCAACCAAAGTTCATGATGGGTGGGGTAATAACTGTGCCTATAAGCACAGTTATTACATGAGCAACAGGAGAGCACATAAGTGACTTTTAAGTGACATTATCCCACTTGTGTGCATAAAACGCACAGTGAGAAATATTGGCAAACTTTTTCGACTCTGTTGTGGCGAAGGACAGACATACATTGAACATCCTTTTCATCTGCCTATATATATATATATGATTAAAAAAACCTGCAAACATGAAAAAAAACTGGGACATTTTTACTTCTAATAATGAGTGGAAAAACATTTAGTTTTGGAAGTTTAGCTAGGAAAGATCATCTGTCAACTTCAAATCAAAATGAAAGCAACATGTGCTTTGCGGTATAATTGAGCTATAGCCTTTTCCCTCCAGTAAAGCAGTGACTAGCTTCTTTTGTTCAGGTCTTAAAAATGGACCATCAGCTGATTAGACTTGTGTGTGACTGATGAAAGGGTAAGGCATCTGTAGTGTGAAACCTTACATGATATCACAAAACAGATGCTATGTTCCTGTCATGCCACTAAGTTTAAACAGCAGAACAGTCCACCACCTGACCAGATTTTTGAGGACACTCAAAACTAAGGACAGTTAAAGTATTTGATAGGATTAAACATGTGGTGATGAAACCTTGCAACGCGTTAAAGTGGAACATCAATTTCTGTAAAGTAAAAGACATCAATAAAGAAAAAAGATCACGACAACCTCCTCTATTAACATAAGGCAGCTGTATGAATCAGTAACACTGGACCTGATCGCTGTGTGAGTAACAGGGTGGATGGATACACTTGTTAGGGTTACAGTGAGGAAGAGGAAGTCCATGCAGACAGTCCATGCAGTTCCACACAACTGACCACCACTGGGGGGGTAAAGAGAGGAAAAGAGGACGCAGATGAGGAGAGACAGGATGTAGACGTGGAGCCTGTGACAGCTTATAAAAAGACACTCTCACACACCTTCACTTTCTGGTTCACACACACACACACACACACACACACACACACACACACACACACACACACACACACACACACACACACACACACACACACACACACACACACACACACAACTTACCTCAATATTTACTCACGACTCCGACAGTAAACTGACAAGACAGTCGTCCTTGACAACATTTAGGATGTGATTTGTGAAGATTACATAACTACTACTCGCGACTCATCGGAGGGTCACCGCTGATTTGGGTCTGTGAAAAATTCGGGTCAAAAGTGTCGTAAAATTCGATTTAATGCGGTAGGGGGGTGGTTATATACTGTATCGTGACCATTAAGACAACCGGTGCGCGTGTTTGAAGAGGGGGATGGACGAGAAAAGTTCAGGGTCATCTGTCTATTACCGACAATGATTACTGCTACTCCGGGGGACCAGGGGGGTGAAGTGAGACGAAATTAACGATGATTGCAGAAGGACATGTGGAGAGGAGGTTGACGACGACGTTGGCGGAAAGAATTTTTGGGTTTTTACCGTGAGGACCATTTTAGCTCCCATTCTGCACACCACACACACCACACCACCACACACGACACACACCACACACACACAC